GAAATTTCTTCGTCGGTTCATAACTATTCCTTCTTTTCGTATTTTTTTAACAATGGAAGTTTTGATGTTCAGCAAAAATGTCATTTTTGACTAAAATATTCGAAAAATGCTTCATTTAATCCCTAGAATTGTAATATGTTTTACCTGTAGAACGGAAAAACGTCTATTTAAATAAATTTATGACCCAGATTTTAGCAATATTAGCGTTTAATGATGCACCATACCAGGCTGGTATTACCAGCTTATTTTTTTAAATGATTTTATAATGAACCATACCTTAAGTAACCATAGTCCATAGCCACTTGCACTGTCGCTTAGAGTAGATCCGAATGCTGGTATAAACACCATTGGTTAAGCGAAAAGGGGGATTAAATGTCATATCTATAGACAATAGCACTTTCATCTTGACCATCAATGCAGTTGCAGGTATTGAATCGACACTACTTTTAGAGTCGACACACGACACCTTTTGAAACCTAATCAACATTTTCTATTGAAATTATTGATATTTGTCAAGCATTCGGATGAAATAAATCTCCCAGACTGAAATTCTTAGCATTTTGCGTCTTTGTACTTGAATGTGCTCGCTTAAATATACATAATATAATAGTGTGTTGGTTTCTTTACATAAAAAAATATCGTTTTTTTTTGTTTGTATCATGAAATCGAGCGAATGCATTGAAATACTATTACTTAATTGAAACGTTAAACGATTTCATTTTATATGCAATATTAAATTGATATGAATTATTGAACTACTATTAATTGTCTTTCATATTTGCCGGAATTATATCAAGTTGTTTTTTTAATCTAAGGCGTACTTACTTTATTCTTCAAATTCACAGGAACAAATTCAACCCATTCTGCTATAATATGTGTTTTACACAACTGAGTGAGTAAAAATATTGACTGAGCATTGATGTGAAAAAAACGTCTAATTTAAAAAAACAAACATTTTTTGACATTCATTCGGTCTAAAGTTGGAATGTTCGAGCATTGACAACTAAACCCGGTATACTCCTCAAATTTTCCCCAGCAGCAAATGTTATTTGCAAACAAACCTTCAGTCAGCTGATTTACGGCTCTGTAATATGCGGAATGTAATGGCATTTGTTATGGGATCTTTAATCACATTTTTATTGATCATTTTTTGAAATTAAAATTTATTGAACACATATGAATGTTAACACTAGGTACAAATATAATACTTACACAAATACAATTCAAATGATTTTTTTTTCAAATTATTTGTGGTATCTGGATTTTTCAAAAAAAAAAAAATTGCTATTCAATCAAAAAAAGTGTCATTGGTATGAGCTCATTCGTTTCAATTCAATCCGTTTCAAGTTTATATTTCCATTTTGAGTTGCCCACTTCGTGATCAAAAATGTTCTTTCTGAAGTATAAATTGTTAGTTTTCGTGCTCCAACTAACTTTTCACGTTCCTTATTCAATGTTAGAAGTTTGAGAATGTGTCCCTTATTTCGGAGATTCAATTTCATTTTGCTTAGTTTTTTCAACCGTTGGATGAATAGTAGAATATTTTCCAGTATTGCTTGTTCGATGCTTAAACGCAGAGATGACTGAAGCGCACCGAGTGACCGAGCAACGGCCGCACGGACACTGAGTTTGCGTGCTTAAAACATGCTCAGTGCGATATTGCGCTGCAGCACAAACAAACCCACTCCATGAAGAGAGTATAAGCGCACCAACGGAGTGCGCTACACCGCACTCGTACACAACGAAGAAACAATAGAGAGGATATACAAAGAAAGAAACACAAAGAAAAGAATAAGACAATACACACTCAACTCTTTATATGTGTGTATAAACCATAATAGGCAACAGAGTTAGAGTGCGCACACATTTCTTAACAACAAAGTCAGAGTGCGCACATAAACTCATAACGAAGTGAGTGTAAACGCACAGAGCAGAAAACGACTCTCAGTTGAGTTGCTGAATACGCTACTGAGCGTGCGCTTAGTCATCTCTGCTTAAACGTTCCAGATTCATAAAATTGCTTGCATTCATCTCTGCATGACTGGGAGTAATGTCATCTGAAACAACGAACTCTTTTAAATCTGGCAAACACGGCAAATGGCCATGCCCACAAAACTTCTCAATGCTCAATTTTTCTAGTTGCGGAAGTGATGTCAGCTCATCACAAGATTTTAAATGAACGTTTTTGGTGAAGAAATGTAATCGCCGGAAGACACCAAGTCCAAAAAGTTGATTCAATAGTCCGTTCAACTCCACTAGCGTCGGACCACGACCGTAGTAATCTTTCACTTCTAACAAATCCAATTGCACTTTCAATTTGAAGATTTTAGTTTGATTGTTCCAAAGACTTTCGGGGTCGGTGGCAAAACTTCGAACGTTGGGATTGATTTGGAAAAACTTATTCAAGTCATTTACCGACAGAATGGGTGCTAATTCGAAATATTCGGGATTTGGAAACTTTTCGCCCATAAATGATTCTCCATTGGGTTCAAGTAAAATACCTAGACTTTCCAAATGAAGACGTTTTAAATTGACACAAAATTTTAAGAAATCATCGTAAATTTTACGATCGGAAAAACTATTTTTAATTCGGACGGTTTGCAGCTGTGGAAAAATGGCTTGGATTTGATCGACCTTCGTTAAGAATGTCTGTATGAAGGAAATTTCGTTGATCGATTCAAATTCACCAATGTGTTGACAAAGATAAGAATGTAAGCGATCGTTATGGAAATCAAGATATGCTTTATGTAACGATTAAATCGAGGTGTCAACGTGCATGCAAAGGTGTGCTCAATGTTAATGTATGGCCCATCATCTGCCACGAGGGTAGCAGCAGCAGCAGCGGAAAAGTGGTGTTTGAAATATTGGCCGGCCACTTTTTGCATCGCTTTACACGTTTGTCCGAATGAAAATAAGTCTTTGAGTGACAAATACTCGAATATTTCGTCGAAACAATCGATGTTTAGCTTGAAAAGTTTCGGTTGTGGTGGTTCATTGGAAGGACAAGCTACAATCATGTGATTCCGTTCTTGGTTTTCTTCATTGGCCAGTCGCAGCCTTTTTGATGCACTTTTTTCCTCAGTCATTATATATAATGACTCACTGAAGTGATTGATGACTGATCATCAACAATAAACATATGACAACCTATTTTGTGACTATGCCACTGAAACGAACACAAATGAGGACAACTCCGATTAGATTTCAATGTTGTGCAGTCATTTAAATGAGAAATGAACCAAATTAAGAATATAATGTATATTAACCTTGAGAAAAAATCATTGTTTTCACTAAGTTCTTTACGAACAATTGAAAGACCTAGTCCGAGTCAGTGTATACATGTTGACAATTATCACACTGAATGCAAATGCAAAAGCAATAGAAAAAAATTGAGCTTAACATTTGCTGTCATATTCGACGTTAAGTTGGTGCTGCTGTGTACTTGTCATTTGAAGTGAATTCAAATTGAATGCAATCAATCTAGAGCTAAACCTTTTGAAATTAATTAATAGCATCTACTAGTAGATTTCAAGCTTGAAAGTATGTTAATTTTGACCAAATTAAAGCCATTGTGGTTTGGTTTTTCACCTTTTCTCAAATGATACGTCAATTGGAATTTGAATGAAATTTATACGAGGTCTGGTCACGAAATCGTTAATTTGAATTAATAAATTTACTTGGAACAGCGCTTAATTCACGATGCTCAATTGATTTGAAATATATTTTATAACCATTCGATTTCCCCTAGATTCAATCACCGGAATGTTGATGTTAGTGCCACAGAAACGGCCTACTAATGGCGATTTGTGCCAATATCCATCATGAATTTCCAAATAATAAGATTGTTTATCGTTTGAATCTCAAGTCATTACTGGTTCCTACTATCCCAAACATACACAATGCAACACAGTTCATGCGATGATTCGACAACACAGTTCATGAGAGCATCGTAAAAACTAAGAGTACAACATTGCTTGAAGAAGTGAGCAAAAAGCACAATTTGAAAATGTGTAACTGTATTTGCATTTTTATTCATGCTTTCATACGATAATTTAAAGTACAAATTTAAAAAAAAGAATAAAACGAAGACGATATTTCGATTGATTTTGCATTGGTGTATTTGTGTATTATCTCTCAGTATAAAGTATGTGACGTATGGTAAAAGCGGTAGCGTCACCGAATGGATTGGAAATATTTGCATACATTCAGGCTGTACGAATGATTCATATACGAAAGCCATCTTTTCCTATATTTTCTAACAATTTCAATCTCTTTTTGGTTAACTTCAAGAATTCCGTTGAAACAACCGCCGGGTATTTAGCAGCTGTCAATATTCAATTGTTAAAAGGCGGTACCAACTCGGGCTGATTTTAATTGGTGGCTTTTGATTATCGATATTACTCCAAAAAATCACGGAAGAAATTTAAATTTCGTACTTTAACTACAAGTTTAAAAAAAAATCTGTTGAAATCATAAAAGCTTCGTGGATTTTAGTCCAACAATTTTAACGTCAATCAGGGGTTTCAATATGATGCGTGAACAGAACGTTTGGCTCAAACTTTAATTAAAGCCAGAGCACTTTGAACCAGCATTAGCTTCAATACACATTGCTAAAACAAAAGTTGCCTTTTTAATGCGTATAAATTGCGTTATTAAATGACTTATTCGAAAGACAACAACATTTTGAAAATTACAGATAAAAGCAACACTGCTAAAATCCGAGATCATTCGCTCGATGGACAACACACATTATTCACACATCATTCGCTCGATAGACAGCACACAGTGTAAAGGCTATTTAAGCTGGTCTCGGTGTACGTACATATATACATATATATCATATATAGAGCACGTGCGTTATATATTTACGTGTACGTTTGTGTGATGCATTTCGAACGCTTGGGTATTCAAATGACTACTGTATTCGTGTTTATGTATAACAAGTGAGCGCTTACCAGAATGGTATTTATATTCGCAGTAGATGTTCAGATCAAGTTTTTGTAAATCAGTTTGCGTCAAGAAACAAGAGGTTCATCAACAACAATTTTCAATCGAGTTTATTTAATTATTTTTAATTCAAAGCGTTGTCATAAGTTCAGTGTTTTTTAATATGTTATTCCATTGTGATAAATGACAAATTGTAACAATTAAAGTCAATATATAAACATTGAATGTTAATTTATGTATGAAAATAAATTGGATTACGTTTTGCGAAGAGATATTTCTATTTTGTTTTTGAATTCCCTAAATTGAACAAAAAACCATTTATTACGGCATTGAGGAGTGATTTAAGATTTAGATTGAGCCAATGAAAACCACAAACAAAGTGAAGTGAAGTGCGATGGAATCAGGTCACAGAAAACTGTTGAAGAGTCCACGAGAAAGTGCTAATTTTTTTTCAGTAATATTTTTCGGCTGGTCAATACCAATTTTTAAAAAATCCTATAATAATGTCTTGCATCCAAACGATGCATTCGAGCCTCTTGATGAGGATCGATCTGAATATCTCGGAAATCGACTGGAAAGGTGCGTGTTTTCGAATATAAAGTTTCAACAAGTTTTGTCGTAAAAAATTGAAATAATTTATTGAAAGAGAAATATTTTGTGTTCTTCTATTGAAAACTAATTTTAGTGCTTGGCAAGCCGAGCAGAAAGGAAAGACGCGCCCATCCTTATTGCGCGCATTAGTGAAAGCGTTTTGGCGTGAAGTGATTATTTTGGGATTTTTGTGCTTTTTCACCGATTTTATCAGTCGATTAACACTTGCATTTCTGTTAGAGAAACTGTTGTCGTATTTTCGGTTTGTATTTTTAGTTGTTTATTAAAATACATGGAGTAGAAGTACTCTTAGATTGATTTCAAATGGTCACTCTGTAGAATTATATGGCCGCTAATCTTTTGAAACGAATTTATTTTCCATTTGGGTGCGGTATTTTTTGGATTCTTCAATTTTAGGTCAAATTCGTCCTAATAAAACAATACGCACGCATGATTTCTTTAATTTGGTTACTGTTTCAATTTTAAATTAGACTATAGAATGTATAGGGTAGACTATGAATAAAAAAAAATGTTCTTCTTTCGCATTTTTGGGGGGAAATCGATAGAATTGAATAAACTAGAACGAATAATGATGATAATGAACCGGTAAGAATTAACTTGACCCTCCAATTTTTCAAAAAATAAAACCGTAACATAAAGTTGATTTTTAAAAAGTAGAGAAACGTAGAAGGCGTTTAAAATAAAAATGCAACATTTCCTAAGTTAAAATAAAAGTGAAACATAGCTATGTTTCACTTTTATTTTCACTCTGTGCATGATTCGATTTTATTTTGAATGCCTTCTGTGTTCCTCTATTATTTCACCATTCAATGTATTTCTCCTTTATTTTAAGAATTGCTTCTCAGTGATAAAAAACTGATAAGGAATGCGAATTTCGATGTGGCGATAACATCAATAGATTAGGTACACTGATTATTGCATCAGAATCGAGAAAAAAATCAAACTTTTTTCGATTTTTGTCTGTGTTTTGTCGGACCGTCTACATGTGGAAGTTTGTATGAAAACCTCGGACCGCCGCTGCTATTGCATTTACTTCTATGGCAAAATGTACACATGAAAATATCTCGAAAACGGCTGGTAAATCGGCAAAATGGACCGTGGTGTAACTCCCTAATAAAAGGAGTTGAGACACCCGGCTGGTTTTATGGCCTGAAATATAAATCCGGTAGAATTTGGGCTGATCCATGGATTCTCAGGATTCGGCCTGATTTTAGCACTTCATTTTTTATGTGTATCTGTAAAGTCATTCAACCAATGTTTTGTATTGAATTTCACCACAATGCAAATAAACTGAAGTGCTGGAATCAGGTCAAATCCTGAGAATCCATGGAACATTCGAATTTCCACCGGATTTGTATTTTTGGCCGTCAAACCAGTCTAAACTCCCTTCATGGAGTAACACCATGATCCGTTTTGCCGATTTACCCAGCCGTTTTGGAGATATTTCCATGTGTAAACATTTAATAATATTATATTCAATTCCGTTGGCTTATATATGAAAATAAAAAAAACTCGGGCGCTGAAAACTCACGCTATCACACTTACGTGCAATTTTTACGTGTATTATAATCGGATGTAGCCAAATGAAAAAAAAAATTCGTTTCAAAATTGTATCGGCCATATAATTTTATAGGGTGAGCATTTGAATTCAACCGTAGTAAAAAAGATAATTAATGAATGAAATTTTCCTATGTCTTTTATAGAGAAAATACCCAAATGAGCCATGACGAGGCTTTAATATATGGCATTTGTTTATTTACTCTCAGTGTAGTCCATGGCATAACTTTGCTACATTATCTATTCAAGGGATTACATTATAGTATGAAAGTTCGTGTGGCTCTTTCTAGTGTTATTTATCGGAAGGTATGAAGTGCATTCAGTTGAAGATAATTAAATTCTTTGTTTCTTTTGTTGTCATAAAAGTTTTGGTTCCATATATTCTTATCTAATCAACTGTTCTTATTTATACTGTAGACACTTTGTTTGTCTCAAAGATCGTTGGCAAATACAGCTCCGGGCAAACTAGTGAACTTATTATCAAATGATGTACAACGATTTGAATCTGTTTCTCTTTTGCATCCGCTATGGATATCACCGTTCACCACAATTATTGCTGCAATGATTTTGTGGATTGAAATTAGATGGGCGGCCATCATTGGGATGATTATTGTTTTTATCTTTGTACCGATTCAAAGTATGTCGTTGAAGATAACTGTTTAGATGAGATCTTATGGTCACGGTCACGTTAGTCGAAATCAGAGGAAAAAAATGAAAGTGGCAAAAAATCATCTTAACGTTATTAGATCGCTCTGAAATTTTTCTCCAAACTATTATTTTATTACTTAAACTCAATATATTTGGAAATTTTCATGGAATTTCGCTGATTTTTTCTTATCAAAATTGCAAAATTATTAGTTATTTCGTCATATTTTATAATTTTTGACTTTTTTTGGACTCTATTTCGGAGGCGTAAATTTCTATTAGAAAATGCACCAAATCGGCAAGTTGAATACATATTTTTAAAGAAAAAGGTTTAAATTTTAATATTCAGCTAACAGAAATAACATTTTTTCGACGCATTCTATTTTTTTTTCCTGCCACAAAGTTGACGAATTCGCAAGTGTGATGATACTGACGAAATGTGTAATGTTACTGACAATTTTTTCACTTTTGCACACGCGTATATCTCTACCAAAAATACTATTTTCAGCATAACTATGATTTATATCGAATCACTTTGATCCTTTATCTTTGATTTATTGACTATGACCCGAAAAATACATTGCTAAACTCGACCATTTTTTTAAAAAATTTGAAATAACTCCAAAAATCACTTCTAAAATTATGTGACGTTACTGACAACTTTAAACCTTTATAACTCCGTGATCACAAGTAATAGACAAAACTTTAAAACTTTGAATTATTAGTCTTGGGAAGCTTTATCATATGCACTGAAGAAATTATGAGCTTTATTCATTTTTTGAAGAAATATGGAGCAAAAATGTTCGTACGAACGTGACGTTACTGACGATGACCGTGACCTTATGCGTGATAACATAGATTAAATATTACACAACAAACATTTTTTTCTATCAACAGCTTATTCAAGTCGACTGTCAGCAATGTATCGATTTAAAACGGCTTTGCGAACAGATGAACGTGTACGGTTTATGGACGAGATTATATCTGGAGTTCAAGTGATTAAGATGTATGCATGGGAAAAACCTTTTGAACGATTGATTTCAGTAGCTCGACGTTCCGAATTGGCAGTTATTCTGAAAAATTCCTACATTCGTGGTTTGAATATGACACTTTCTCTGTTCGCCACAAGAGCTGCACTTTTTGGTACTGTATTATCATATGTTTGGTTTTATGGCCCCGAAAATCTGACCGTCTCCAAAATGTTTATGACAGCATATTTACTTAATGTCATTACATTGGCAATGTGTCGTATTTTCATTCGAAGCATTTCTGAGATAAGTGAAGTGTATATTGCTCTTAATCGACTGCAAATGTTTCTTGAATATGAAGAAAAGTGTGAAACAGTTCCAAAAAATGTGGAGATCATCAGTTCTGATCTGTTAGAATCGGAGAATATAGCTATTTTGATGAAAAATGTGTCAGCCAAATGGAGTGCGGTTGAAGATCAAACTGGCAAAAAATCTTTCAAATTAACGAAAAAAATTGGTTCCTACCAAAATGAGGATGAGTTGAACGAGAGCAAATTATTTCAACTTCAAAATATAAACTTGGAAGTATCGAAAGGAAAACTAATTTTCGTTGTCGGATCTATTGGGGCTGGTAAATCGACACTAATGCAAGTTTTACTCAAGGAATTGCCAGTAAATCAGGGCCTCATGGGAATAAATGGTACGACTTCATATGCGAGTCAAGTTAGTTGGACATTCACATCATCGATCCGACAAAACATTGTGTTCGGTGAACCAATGGATCGATCACGATACGATGAAGTGGTTAAATGTGCAGCTTTAACAAGAGATTTCGCACAATTTAGTAACGGTGATATGACGATGGTCGGCGAAAATGGAGCTGGTCTCTCAGGTGGCCAAAAAGCTAGAATCAAGTAAGTGCAAGCCAATTTATCTCCAACAGAAGCAAAAGTGATTTGAAAAATTATGTACGTTCCGATCAAACGTTTGATTTCAGTTTCGCTCGTGCTCTCTACCGAAAAGCGGATATATACTTGATAGATGATCCCTTGAGCGCGGTGGATACTCACGTGCAATCACATTTGTTCCATAAGTGTATCGGCCCGAATGGATATCTGGCGCGTCAAAATGCCACTCGGATTTTGATCACACATCAGTTGCACTTCATGAAGGAGGCAGATTGGATTGTCGTACTGAAGGACGTAAGCATAGTTTTAAATTCATTGGAAAAACATGCAGGTTTTGAAAGTGTTTTATTAATTTTTAGGGAAAGATTGAAATACAAGGCAATTATGATACAGTTTTACAGGCTGGAGTAGACTTTGCCAGCATACTGCGCGAGAATGAACCAGAGCAAAATGGAGAAAAAGTAGAAAATAGACGTCGAAGCTCGGCTTTATCGCAGAAAAGTCATTCAAGTTTGTCGGGATCACTGAACAAAGAGACTAACTCAGATGAAAATCAATATAAATCCGAAGGTCAAAATGAATTGGGGAAAGAGTTAGAGGCAACATCCAAGGGCAAAGTTAAAGGATCGATGCTTTTAAATTATCTGAATTCTGCCAACATGCCTTGCACTTTAATATTCATGTTTATACTATTTTTAATAACACAAGTTTCGGCTAGCGTTGCAGACATATGGGTTTCGTACTGGTATTTTAATACATTTCTGAAAATGTTTTGTGAGTGTTTTTTGATAATTTATTATTATTGCTCTGTTTTTAGGATAAGAAACGAAGAATCTCGCGTATATCAACTCGAAAATGGGTTATCAAACGATTCAATGAGCTCATTTAATAATACATCTAGCGATACTGAGTCAAACCCTTGGCCCACAGAAACTTACGTATACATATACAGTGCAATTATGCTTTCGTTGATAACCCTAGCAGCAACACGATCAGCAACATTTTGTTGGATTTGTATAAAGGCGTCGCAAAGTTTGCATGATAAAATGTTCAGTGGATTAATATCAACAGCGATGAAATTTTTCAATGAAAATCCAATGGGACGAATTATGAATCGATTTACAAAGGATTTGGGCAACGTGGATGAAATGCTGCCAAGAATATTATTGGAGGCTCCGCAAATGATATTGATCGGTAATTTTTGAAAATTATTCTTAATACGTGAAAGTCAACGCAATTATCACGATCGGGGGTCGCTGGTGTTCATTATTAAATCCAATTGCATGACCCAATTCAACAATTGACAATTGTTGATCGACACATTTTGGCCACCAGATGCACAACAACTGCAGTCCATTTTTGTAAACTGAATGAATTGAATGTGTTCGCTTTCATTTCGTTTGAACACCATGATGCTGCTGAAATTTTTCGCTTCTTTGATTCTATTTTTTGATCATCATTAAAATAAACACAAGCGTCAAACATGTTTATATGCACATAAGAAATAATAGAAAATTTCAAAAATTTCTCCCTTTCATCTCGTTGCAGCACTGGGTGCAGTTGGCGTCACTATTTTTACAGATATTAAGCTGGGGGTTGTGATCGTCGTAATGGTTGTCATTTTTCTTTTTGCACGTAAAATATATTTGGAAACGTCTACAAACATTATGCGCCTGGAAGGGATAAGTGAGTAAATTTTCCTAAAAAATTCCCAAATTTACAAACGATATTAATATAAAACGATTGGTGTAACTTTTTTCAATAGCAAAATCGCCAGTTTTCACCCATATTTCAGCAACACTGGGAGGATTATCGATAGTTAGATCATTTCAAGCGGAACACATTCTACGTATTGAATTCGAAAGACATCAGAATCTTAATAGCGGCGTCTGGTTTATGTACCTGGGTAGATATTTTTAAATTACAAAATTTGTGTCTCTAGTTGAGGTGCCAACGAACAAAATTCTAAACAATCTTTTTTCGGATTTTTAACCTGAAAATAAAACATTTTATTTTCAAGTTTATTTTTAGGTACGTTTCGAACAATTTCCCAAGTGCGAACGCTGCGCACGCTTTTAAAAGACGTGGTTCACGTATTCACGCCTTTCTCACGTCTCCTATATAATTTCCTGTCTGAAAGACGTGCATCTTCTGTGCAATGGTATACAGAATACACGAGAATTGCATGAGGAAAATTTCAGCTATACCATTTATCACTGCACAGAAGACGTACGTTTTTCGTGTGGTAATTATATAGAAGACGTGAGAAAGGAAGACGTAGCGTTCGCTCTTGGGTTAGAATGAGAAAAATTTTTAAACCTTCCGTCCGAACAAATGATCGTACGAATTTTTTTAATGGTTTGAAACGTACCAAAAACAATTTTCTGATTAAAATTTAGAAATTGTTCTAAATTTTGTTTGTTGACACCTCTAGTCCCTACACTATTTACTATATTTGATTTGTTCATTTTATACAATAATTTAGGTGCAACAAACGGATTTGGATTATCACTCGATTTAATGGTATATGTCTTCATTGGTTTCGTTATTTATTTTTTCTTAGTGGTGAATGAAGGTATGTGTTGAACACTCTTTAAATTTTTATTATCTCATTTTGTGATTATTTTCACATAGGAGCTACTGGTGACCGTGTTGGATTGGCAATTACGCAAGTACTTAGTTTATCTGGAATGTTGCAGTATGGAGTTAGACAAAGTAAGCATCCGAAGAAAACTATATGACAACGGAATTTTAGGAAACATTTTAATTGTGAACCTTGTTCTTTATCTTTTAAAGGTGCTGATGTAACGAATCAACTTACATCGGTTGAGCGTATATTAGAGTATAGTCAACTTGAGCCTGAAAAACGACCAGATGTACCGCAAAAAGTACCAGCTGATTGGCCATCGAAGGGGAAAGTGGAATTTAAGAAAGTATCATATCGATATTCAGCTGAAGACGAGCCAGTTTTGCGGGAATTATCATTCTCAGTAAAACCGAAAGAGAAAGTCAGCGTTGTCGGTCGTACAGGTGCTGGAAAATCTTCATTGATATCATCAATTTTCCGATTGGCAATTGTCGATGGTGACATTCTCTTGGATGATATCAACACCGCTTCAGTTGAATTGAGTGAACTACGATCGAGAGTATCGATAATTCCTCAAGAACCAACACTTTTTTCAGGCACATTGCGAAGGTTAGCATTGTTGCCACACCGTTGCTGCAAGAGCATTACCACTAGCGACACCTTGTGGCAACGATAGTAAAATCCTGTGTGTTACAATGTATTTTTCAACACATTACAATCGGTGCCAACAGGATTGCCTGTGGTATATTGCTATTGCAGCAACCTTGTGACTGTTGCTTTCATGATATTTAATTCGTATTGTTCCGAAGAAACCCAAAATTAAGTTGCATTTTTTATTTGACAGAAATTTGGATCCTTTCGAAGAATACTCGGACGCTGACATTTGGAGTGCGCTCGAGAATGTTGAAATGAAAGAATATGTGTCGAAGAATTATGGTCTGCACATGGCGGTTCAGTCACATGGACAAAATTTCAGCACCGGACAACGACAGATTCTATGCTTAGCTCGAGCGATCCTACGAAAGAATCGCATTATTATACTTGACGAAGCAACGGCAAATGTTGATCTTCAGTAATTATTCAAATCTCTACATCCCCATAAAAATATGATGAATGTTCTTTTACTTCTTTGTATTTTCAGAACGGACGAAATAATTCAAAAGACAATACGAGAGAAGTTTGCTAGCTCGACAGTGATAACGGTGGCTCACCGATTGAACACGGTTATCGACTCCGATCGCGTATTAGTTATGGATGCCGGTAGAGCTATTGAGTTCGACGCACCGTACTTACTGATGCAGAAAAAAGAGGGCATATTCCGAAAAATGGTTGAAGCACTCGGACAACTGGAATACGATCGTCTATTTTCAAGAGCTAAAATTGCGTTTGAGTGCTCGAAATAGCGATGAAATGTTATCACCTTTAAATCTATGAGCGAGATTGAGAGTAGTATACTCTCAGAATTCAAAGGAGGCAAACTAAAAAACATATAGTGTAAAACATCAAACTACCCACTGTTCTTTGCCATTGTAGGCAAAATGTCAGTTTACCTACATTGTTAATACAATATGGAACACCGTTCCACCAAAAATGTAGGTAAACTGACATTTTGCCTACAATGGCAAAAAACAGTGGGTAATTTCTACCATTATAAACGTCAGCGATCAACATCAACAGAGACACTATAGCACATAGCATTAAACGCACTATTGCTTCACTCTTTGTACACACTTTGACATCACTTATGCTTTGGCGCGCGTCGTACGTTTTTCAAACGTTTATGTTTGATTCAAGTATTTCACCGATTTCACCGAATTTTCTTACTCAATATCAATATATTCATTCTTACTTGGAAGTTTTTTTTTTATTGCAATGATGTTTTAAAATATATTTTGTCGATAAATATATTTTTTTTAATTTCTAAAATTAAATGAAATTAAAACACATAGCATGAAACGTATTCATAGTAGAAATGCATATGTATTAGTTTGTACTTATTCATTATAATGTATTTAGATAGGACGCTAGCGCGGCCTGGGTAATTTGATGTTTTACACTATATGTTTTTTTAGTTTGCCTCCTTTGAATTCTGAGAGTATGTTTTTAGGATGACTTATATTTTGATTTGTTTGACTCAGGATTTTTGGCGATTTTCATTTTAATGACAAATGTCGAATTGTAATCTTAGCAAAAATTGTTGATCTTGTCAAACTGTACAGTGTACAACTTTCGAAAAGATATTTGCATCAATTGAAATAAATAAATGAATTATTTTAAGATTTGCTCTTTTGAATAGCAAACATTGAAAATTAAAAAGCATTTTTTATTATATTTCTGGAAAATGATTGAAGCACTCGGACAACTGGAATACAATCGTCTACTTTCAAAAGCTAAAATATAATTTGAGAAATCCATGAGTTCCACAAAGTAATAACGATCGACTTTATAATGGTAATATAGTCCGGAGAACGTTGATCTTTTGTTTTTAGCTCTTCAATTTTGAAGGAATCTCTGAGGAGTTCACAGATACAGTTGTATAAACAGTTGTTGTGATTTGTGCATTTCCACTTAGCGTACAGTAGTAAACATTGTCTGAAACTCTTATCAGTTATCATGTTATTATCATGTTCCATCGCAACAACTTAAATCGCTCAATTCAACCCAAGTTCAGTTGTTCCGTCATCAAGCAGCAGTTGAATTTAAGAAAAATATTCAGTTTATCCAAACTAAATAAATAAAATAAAATAAACTTAGGTTTTCGCAATAATACTGCTAAATTGACTAAATCTACTAAAGATAACACTACTCAACAACAACAACAAAAAACCTCTTTTTTTTTCTTTTTCATGTTTTTTGGGGGCCGCTGAATCTGAATTTGGCCTTGGTTTGGCTGTAAAAGTTTCACTTTGTGGAAAATATTTAAATATTTTTCTCGCTTGAATCAGTTCAATGAGGATGATATCACGCGCTGTGAACGCGTTGTTATGTAATTACAACTATTTCACTAACCACGCTGAAAGACATGGTTATTATTGTGTACGCTTCGTTTCAATACACATCTACTCAACACTTGACGAAACTACGGCTACATTTTATACTGACAAGAGACAAAATTACTTCATTTCAATCGAAATGTATAAATACCCAAATGACATACAATAAATTTCTCTTTTATAAACCAACACTCAAGCGGCGAATCCATTACAATCCTGCAAACAAGCACTACCCAACTACGAAATATAATGAAAATGTGTTTTATTATTTACTACTCGCTTCGCGACTGTTCAAATGTGAGAGATTATCTGTCCGCATTATCATCAAATCCATCAAATATAAGTCTTTCCAATAGTTATTAGAAACGGGTTGTTACTTTAACCATCGCGGTTACTCAATCAAATTTATTTTACAAATGACATGGAGCAATGTTGGAATTTTGGGAATCAGTCTTCAGTGAAGACTCTTCACTTCATTTGTACAACTTTGCTCTAAGATTTTTGCTAATACCATACACATTACCTTATCTGAACAAGTATATATGTTGTGCAACTACTACATTTCTTATCAGTGGCTACTATTTATGTTCCTTGCGTATTAGTTAATTGACCGATTGCATTATTATTCAACCATTCTATTTACGATGTCCAATTAATTTACATGGTGAATTTCTCAACAGTGTTCTACATAGATTGGGCAATAGTTGGTTTGTTTTGGCAACAAAACTAGTAATTCAACCAAATAGCTACCAGGGCACTTATTTTGGCAAATCAAATTCTCATTGCAAACTTTGTTCAATACAGTGACACATTAAAATATATTCTGAAGTAAATCTCGTTTTTTTTATTTAATCGAACAATCTTTACAATATATAACTAAGAAATAACCTAACACAATTACTAGTTACCGGCTGCAACTGGCCTGCGCCGATTGGCATAAAAACTCTCGTACAGGTCGACAGTTGCAACTATTTAGAATAAAAAGGAAGTGGTCCTTCAAAGCAGCGAGCTGCCCTTCTTAATGCCTCTCATGGATATCTTCAAACAGAACGTCAAGTCGTCTGTCCAGAATGTTATTTGTAAGTCATTGATATCAATATTTCCGCTAAAATGAGATGAACAGCGACAACCTTAAAGTGCCACTCCATGATCATAGAGCATTACATTTACGTAAGGACCAAAACTACCATTTGAACTATAGTTGGCGAGCTTCAGTATATCCTCGATTCGGTAGCGCTGATGTTGCAGAATAGATTTAGTTTCATGAGTAATTTGAAGCAAGACTTCTTGTATCGTGGCATGCTCAGTGATATGCAACAATAATGGAAAGACGTTGGATGTCATGCCTAGCTCTTGAGTCAAATAGGTTCCACGTACTGGCAAACTGAGACTCACATACTCACGGTTTAGAAGGCTTCGAAGCAATAGCACTGAAACGCCAATGTGAAGAAAAGATTCATGGCTGCTGCTAAGTGTTGCAATTCTTGGCGTTCGCTTCGCTTATGCTTAATTTCATTGTATGGCGATAAGTTGTTTTCTTTCCAACAGAATCAATACTTCGTTAAGCCTGCTAAAATTTCTTGTCTTCTTCATTATCATTTGAAGCTTGGTATATGCGGCATCAGCACGTGAAAGCGCATTAAAATGCATAGTTGGCTGCAATGCAATTTCTCCAAATCTCTTAAATTCATTATAGGCAGCAGCAAGCAGGGATTCAAACTTGCGAAAGATCTACCATCGATAAGGGCGTAGTGAAATCGCGCATAAAGTATGTAATCATCATTTCCAATGATGTACAACGTAAACTCGTAGAGATTTTTGTCGGCCATGCCGCCAGACTTGTTTACAGCTTTTCTCATTCTTTGAAACGCCTCATCCTGTGGCGTTGAATGCATGCGGACATCAATCGTTTGGTCATGAACCTGCCACAGCTCTCCATCTGAATCTACGACTACTAGTGTCAAGTCACATAATACTGAACGCATCCGGTCTTTATGGGTTTCGCGCAACTCATTAGAGATAACAATATGGTGTCTTCGGAAAAGTTTTAGTACTCGAGGTCCTCTATAAGTAAACTGAAGACAGTTATCTCCTATCTCTTATTAGATTCGCGCAAATCGCGCAATTAAAAAAGCAGAATTTATATAGAAACTTTTTTTCTTATCACTTTTCGCGCTTTTCGCGAAACTGATAAGAGCTAAGAGATAACTGTCTTCATTTTAGTTATAGAGGACCTCGAGTACTAAAACTTTTTTGAAGAGACCAAGTTGCTATCTCTTATCAGTTCCACGAAAACCGCAAAAAAACCGTGACGACCCGCCAAAAAAGAACATACTCGCTTTTAACCATTTTTAAGTCGACAGAAACTTACTCTCTTCTTTCATAATAAAGTCAGTGTATGTTTCACTCTCAATCTCACCTATAGAATTAAGAATTATAATTGAACGTGTCGCAGACGGCGAAAGCAGGTACGAGTGGCGAAAGCATCTGAGCGTTTATCTCGTCTATATATACACGTTACTTCGACTTATTTTCCAATAGGGCATTTAGCACAGCAAAAAATGGAAACGACCTACGCTTCAAAGTGGTTTCCATCATCGAGCCGGTATAAATCGGTTGTATAAATCATTTGTTTTCGTGCAACTACTGCATTTCTCATCAGTGGCTATTATTTATGTCCCTTAGTTAGTTAATCAATTACAGTATTCAAAAGTTCTATCAGTACATAAAGTTCCAGTGGTATAATGTTACATTCTATAGCATGGCCAGTCTGTTCGCATTCGTCTTGATATTGAAGAGAAGGCAGCTGAAATAGAATTGATTTTTGACCGAGAAAAAAGTATTCATTTTTGATCTCATACATTGATGAGAGTTTTATTTAAAAAATCCAGTAAATAGCTTAATGTATTGACCCTAGATTAACTATAAAATTATCCTTATCAACTATAAATTAAGAAAAAGCGGATGATAATTCGGAATTGTTTTTATGTAGATTGAAAAATTTGAAACAAATGGTGAATTTGAGAATTCAAATGTCAAGTTGTAGTCAAATAACTCGTAATCATGTTGAAACAAACATAATTAAATGCCAATTTATTCTACCTCTTCAAAAATCGAGTTCACCGTCTTCAATTATAATTTAATAATTATTACATCAACATCAAACGATGTCGATACTTCGGCGATATCCATTTTGATTTGTTCAACTGAACGCGAGTTCTGTGTCCGAGCCCATACATAACAGTGGATAATCAATTTCGATAAAGATGGATTCTGTCTGATGAAATTCGCAAAGTCATC